ACTTATGATTTCCAAGTGACCAGAAATTAAGCTGAAATGTTGTGACAACAACTTTTTTCGATGCACGGGTGGACGAAGGCTTCTTCAAGGCTTTATCGCAAAATTCAGTCCCCTGCTGATCTTCCTAGCGTTATTTAAAAAGCACATTTTCAGCTCTTCTTGTCATTGACCTGGGGTGGGGGTCTTTCCATGGGCCGCTTATTCTTTCTTGCAATCGAATGTAATATCGTTTTAGTCCAAGGATGGTAGATTTTTCAAGACTACTACCACCTTAAACTTCTTCACCGAGACAGTGACGCATCGCAGACTCCTCTGTACGCTCCAATCCATTCATTCATCTTCTGATCATTTCTTGTTATTACTTTTTGTCATGCTGCTTTACACGTAGTGTACGGTTCGGCTGAGGCTTTCAAGGCTAAAGTCAATGTTTCTCATGCACTAGGACCAGAAGCACGCACTGATTGAAAAACCTCCGTTTGTAGTTCAAAGTGAGTTTCCAGGATAAGAGCATCTTCAGTCTTCCACCAGTATTCCGTGTCACTTTCATAATTCTATCAATTTCACTGAGTTTGTTCTCCGTTGCTATACAAATTACGGATGGTTTCCGCATTTGTTCAAGTCTAAGTCCATCAACCTCAGCAGTTCATTAAATCCTTCATCTGTGAAACAGGAACTCAGTCTTCTCCAGGCTTGTCTTCACTATTGAGTTCATTCCTCGCGTAGAGCATATATACGCCTAGTACTAGGAAAACAACATGGTAGCGTTGTGCAACCTTTATGAAATGTTACGCCTGTCTAAATATCCAAAGTTTGCTCTGAAAATTATCCAACCACTAGTCGCGCTTTGTTCTCCGTCATCTTTACTCCAGCATCTGAGAAAAGAGGCCACGGAAGAAGGTCAGAGCTGCAGACCTGTCAACTACGCGATACGAGGTTGCTTTAACTCCTGATGTCAATTAAACTCATGCATTTGATGAATTTCATTAATGTTCCGTTTTACAGTAGCTCATAGGATTGTAAGAACAAATTTACTACTTCAATGGGTGGAAAGAGGGCAAGTAAAGTAACTTGAAGGAAGCGATATTTCGAACAACGTTTGCATCGTTGATCAGGGTGAAAACTTGGTGATTTCATTATGGCCTCATTTCTTCTCAGATCATCTAAATCTTATCCATTCTTTCTCTGATTGCACGGAAGCAAAGCAATGTAAATTACTCTGCACCAGTGATAGCACAGTAAACAGTGATTACGAATGATAAATTTCGATAGTGATAAGGATTTTGTAAATGGTCCTGGTTGGAAGAGGAATCAAACCGAATTTTTAGTTCAACCACATGCGTAGAAGATGAAGATCGCAGGCAACCAAGAAAGTGAAATTGAATTACACATCATTTCGTCTCTGTCTGCAGGGATGGATTTGTGTCGATGCACGGCCGATTGACGATGTGTATCAGACAACGCCATCGTCATCCATTCCATCATCTGCGGGTCATTGAGTGGTTGTGCATTTGTAGGCTCTGCTCTTCTGCTCAGAAAAGCCCCGTGCGTGGATTCGATTCGAGCGATGTGCCTCCCTTTTTATTCCGTTCTCGACTTCTGAAACCTTGTCATAAAATAATTGTACTTTCGGACTTTCTGACATGCAATCCGAAATGGTGACATTATCGGTCGACCGAATCAACATGGAATCTAACAGGACTCTTTGCTCAGCATTCTATAACGCTGTCTGATTAGGGTTATTACATTAACTGACACCATTAGGGACAAAAGGAAGGGAAACTCTTGTGACCAGCGTGTCAATCAATCATTTTTAGACGAGGATTACACCTGGTGCTGAACTGGCAGCTGTCAAGTAGGTAAAAGTGAAGTGCAGCCAGAAAAAGACGGTCGTGTCAGACAGCGTGGCAGTACACCTCGCCCTCTCTGCCATGACTACACCTGAATAATATACGTTGTCTATGTTATTCGCATATCAATGACTTGCTACCGGTTTTCAGTTTGTTGCAACGAAGCAACGTCTGGTTATTCTTTGCTCAAGGGAATTATCGGGCAAAACAAATATTTTCCTTTCTCGAGGATCGACCCGTCACTTCTGGAGTTACACGCGAACCTCTTTACCACTGCTACCGCGTCCTTATCTTGCACTTTAATGGGGAGAAAAAAATACGGGGTCTGTTGCGCATCTACGCGAGGAAAATGAAGGAGAATTCGCAATATAGTGGCCGTTTGTTATTAGATATCACCTTCGAAAATAAGGTTCCCACATTGTCGGTATCGAAACCAAAATCAGCACAAAAGCGCTATGAAAAGTGTTATTCGGATATGGCTTTCCGGAATATTGATGAACATAGTGGCATCGTATACAAACAAGCCATTGCAGCCACTTTAATGCAAGTCTCTTCAGCCGTGGTAGGATAGACCGCACTGCGGTACGAATAACGTGCCTTCCGCCATGGCTGTTTTGATGAGGAAAATATTTTACCTCGACGTCTTGACGACAAGTACTTGGAACAGCTCGATTCCGTTTTTTAATAGACGAATTTGCGACAGTGATTGAGACTGCTGTAGAAAAAAATTTTTAACTAGGTTCAAGAGTTGGACGACAGCTGCCCTATTTATTACTATGTCTTCAAACGTTCAATTAATTTCCTCAAATATCAAGGCCGAAAGCACACACAAGCTAAATGAGGGTTTCTGCGGTAAAAACCTTCATGTATAAAAAATTGCATTATAAAATCTGGCCGAAAGGTGAAAGGACAAAACTTCAGCGATTAAAGCATAAGCACGCTTCCATAGTGTCTACGTTATTTGAAGGCCACTGAAATGTAATTTCTTTCTGGATGGTTGTATCGGAACCCCGCGATGTGGCGACCTCACAAAGTCATTTTTAAGTCACAGTCATGAAGACTCCCAATGAAATGCTGAGTTGATAACTTAACTGATGGAATCGCAAAGTCGGTCGACACTCTCACTTCTGCATTAGAAAACCGTCAAAAAATCAAATTCTTCGCAGACGCTATCTCGACATCTCTACGGCCAATCAGATATCGAGGAGAAGATGATGAATTCTATAATGATGATAATGATGATGAAGTCGAAACTGCAAATGATAAACTTCATCCTCATGGCGAAGATGGCTATAATAATGAGGGAATGAGGAGTAGGGAAAAAAAGGTGGAAGAGAAGGAGGACGAGGAGGACGAAAATTAAAACGAGGGAGATAGTGATGTCTCAGAGCACAAGGGAACGAATTAATTAAGTAAACATTCCTAATATACT